AAAGATCATTGGTGTGCTGATTATGAGTTGGGTGTTAATGAGTTCATGGAAGCTGCTTCTAAGCATGTCGATGCAATTGGTAGAGTTAGATGTTCGTGCAAGAACTGCAATAATCTCTACTTTAAGACATTAGTCCAGGTGCGGGGAGAAATATTTAAGCATGGCATGGTCGAGACATATAAAACGTGGGTCCATCATGGTGAGCCATATGGTGTTAGTAGTAGCGGTGTAAACCCACGATGTTCATAATGAAGAGAGTGGTTTACAGACCGACATGTCTGAAATGTTGGGTGATTTTGGTAGGGCGAATGAGTGTCTAACAACCGTTGAACCTTCCCACGGTCCTAATAATAATGGTGCATTGGCAAGGCTCCTCAAAGATGCTAATTGCCCTCTTTACCCTGAATGCAAAAAAATTTCAAAACTGTCATATGTTATGAAAATGATGAATATCAAGATACAGACAAATAGTAGTGATAAAGCACTACCCACAACGTTTTACCCACAAAACCCACATTAGTTATATTTATTTCTTCAAATACTTTGTAACCCACATTAACCACATTAGTTATATTAGTTTGTGAAACTTGGAAGACGAAGAATTAAAGTAGCTACCAAAATCAAATATGCACTTATTCTATAAAACAAAACCAAGTCAATACGCAATGTTCATGTGAGATACTTTTATTAAATAAGCATTGTCCCTATGTTATATGTTTATCTTATAACAAAAAACCAAGTCCATAGATATAGTCAGATAAATTAATTGATTCGTTAAAAGAGGAGAATAATCGATAAAGGTTAGTCAGATACCCAAACTCATCTCCATTTCTCCACGAACTCACGAACAACACAACATGCAACCAACTACCAACAACACAAGACTATAGTCGTGAGTGGAGAATAATCGATTCATTAAAAGTGGGCGACTGCACTTATCGAGCCACTTTTGTGTTTTGCTGTTGTTGCCATCGGAGGAGTCGTGACATGCAACGATGTTAATCTGGTAACATATCATTCTGCCTCTCCGTTATATTTCAAATCTCTTTCCAAATCCATCACTTCTGAATTCACACTAACTAATCTATTGTATTCTAAATTTATAATTTATTTTACACTTTATTAACTTTCTTTTATGTATGTTTTTATTTTTGTGTGAGAAGAAATACAACATCACTATTTAATTAAAATATTATTATATTTAATGTGAAATTTTTGTGGGTATCCACAACCAACCCGCACCAACCTGCAGCGGGTAGTGGTTAACCACTACCCACTGCGGGACGCGTTGTGGGTAGTATAATTCTATATTTGTTGGTGTGGTTACCCGCAAAATGTGGGGCGGGTAACCACACCCATCCCAATTTCCACCCCTATTATTAATGGTTTATAATATGGTTGTTAACATTTTTTTATTGGGATTCTATCTTTTATAGGTTGCAAGAACAATGAGAACGAAGAACACATCACGTAAGATTGTTCTCCCTATATACCAGAGTACGATCCAACAGCCATGAGCATATGAAAATAATGAAGATAACTAGAGTTAATCATAAATTTTTCTGCCTAGACACCAAAGAACGATAATATAAAGCGATATCAATTGATTGTAAAATGTTGATAATGCCATTAGAAGTCATTATACGAGGTCATGATTGGCTAGTTATGAACATGACGTGGAAATATGAATAGTTAATTAAGATGTTGTAATTCAATAGTGACTTTAAAATAACTATAATAAAATATACCTTCAATATGACTTTAGAAGAGGCCCCTAATGATATTTGAATAATTAATAATGATGTGGTATAACTTTAATAAGTTATTTATAAGCGTTGATGACGAAAATATAAAGCGATAACAATTTATCCAAAATTGTTAATAATATAATGGTAAAGAATTGATAACAATATTTAGGAGTCGTTTGGAGAACGGGATTTAGGGCGCGGATTTATTGAATCCGTAGATTTTGTAAAAAATTATGTTTTTTTTTTTGCTTTTTGTACTGTGGATTTTAGCTTTATAGATTTCAAATCTCTAAAATCTACGGATATCAGAGAGATTTAATATCTTGATTCGTGAGTTTTTTTCTCCTACATTTTCTCGTTTTCTTTTATTTATTTATCATATTAAATATTTGTCAACAAAGTTTTAAATATTTCTCGACCACTTTAATTTTTTATTAAAGATAAACATGTGATTTAATATAAAATTAATTTTTTTTTATTTTCATTGAATGTTAACAATCACAGTTACCAGAAAATAACCATTTTAAAATCTATTTTCAACAATCCGTAGAGTTAGAATTTTTAGATTGTTAACATTCTATAGATTTAAACTCATATTCTCCAAACACCCCCTAAGTATGTGTATATAATATATATTATATATTAGCTAAAAATGTTAACCAAACCAAATTAGCCAAATACTACCAGTTTAAACGGTTACTACGGTAACCACGTCATTTTGAACACCTCTAAGATGACAAGCTGGTTGTTGTCGGTGGATGGGTGGGGAATGAATGAGAGATGACCGAGAGAGAATGGTCTAGGTTTTTCTATTATTACCTTTCTTAGATTAACTATTTAATATTCATTATATTAATGATGGTTATACAATACCAACTTCTACCCTTAACTACCTATTAACAACTAACTCCCTAATAACTACCTAGATTCCTTCCAGTCAATGGGAAGGCTTTAAGAAACTCCTAAACTTATAGGTTTAAGTACCGGATCTAACCCGGATTAGCTTTCCATTGCCGAGTAATTTCGAAGACATTATTCATTTCTGTTTCATCTAGGTATAACTTGTTGCCAACTTAAGCGGTGTTACATTGCTCGAGTTGGATTAAGAAAAATGCGATAATTTCTTTTGTTAAGCGAATTGAGTATTTCCTAAGAAGCTAAGTAAAAATGTTATTTTTAGTGTGATGGATGCATCATTAGCTCATAAAACAACAAAATATATCTTGAAAACAATGGCGGATCTAGGGGGCCGCCCCCGACCACGGCCCAGCCGTACACTGGATCCAGAATTAGTATAGTACTCGTAAATATTCGATTTTAAATATTCGTTTTAGTGTTTGTCGAGCAACGGTCCAATCCTCACCACCTCTTTTCAAATGTGGGTCAATACTTTATCCTTTTGGATCCGCGCCGCGGCTTGAAAATATGTGAATGTGATTGAAAAGGTGGGGTGGGGTGGGGTGGGTCGAGACTCGAGAGGGTCCTGATTAATTTTATGGTGACGTGAATGATGGTATTTCTTTAGGTTCAATTTTTTTTTATATGCATGGAGCATGATGAAAGTTTGAAACACGAAAGGACCCTCAATTTGAAATGCTAGGATGCAACATCATCCCGATAAGAGTTCTAATTCTTATACTATTTTATAGGTTAAAAAATCTAAATAATTGGAGTACTAGATAGAGTGCTAACTGAATAGGAGTTAGCATCGTACTAACCACTATAATCACTGTTCATTACAGTTTTTTTTATTCAAACAGTTCATTACTTTTAATTTAAATATGACGGTGGAGAATAATGAGGGGCATATTTCGTATATCAAAAAATTATTGAATTAATAAATTAAGATTTAAAATAATTTTCTCTTTCTTAGTAGAGATCGATTTAGATGTGAAAAATATTAGTACGGAAACTACTACTACATTAATCAGTAGTGATTTTGCTGGTTGTATTAGCAATTTTATTTGTTCTTGTAGTGATTTAGAAATTTTAAATTATCATAATTAGTGAATTTTAGAAAGTAATGTAACATAATCACTACTAATACGATCCACATCTGTAAAATCGCTACTAATACTACTGCTATAAATCGTTGTGAGAATCATTACCACAAATATGAAAAACCAGTACTACAAATCTAGATAAAACCAAAACATGACTCCTCATACTAGTACAAAGATCCGATTGTTTTTCTTCCATTTATTATAATCCTTGGTCGTCAGCGCTCAAGCACATCCCACCCTCGACAACCCACTTCTCCCGCCGTCAATTTGAATGGAATTCTCCGTGTAACCGGCCGGTCATCATTGTCGAGGGTGTCTTTGGTCGCCCGTTACCGTGAGGAGTTGGAGATTGATGACGTCTTCTCCTTGGCCACTATTTTCCATGACCACGTCGCCGGCCAGTTGGCGGAGAAGAAAGATGAGCGAGAGTTTGTGATCATCACGCCATTCAGGGTGCAGCAGTTTGTGGAAAAATGGTGGGAGGCGGACGATTATTCAGAGAATAAGGAGAGAGGGTGAGCGAGTGATGTATTATGTGTAGATATATTAGGGTTTAGCATGGTCCATTAAATCGTACCGTACCGACGGTTCAACCACAAAATACCAGTATCGGAGGCTAAACCGATAGGCAGTATTTAACGGTACTAACGGTTGAACTACGGTTAAATCACGATTTTGTCATAAAATACTCTATCGCTGACTTTTCCGGTACGGTTTCATGGACCATGGGGTTTAGGAGGAAGGAACGGTTAGTATTTTGACTAAATTGCCCTTTATAGCACCGTATCCCATTCCGAGTATCTCACTAACTCCTAATCTTTCTCAGAAACGGAAGAGATATATAGATTGTGAGCAAGAAACGTGAGAGGATAAAACCCTAGAGCGCAAAACCCAGTCAAGTAACAGCTAGCGAAGCCCTACTAGCAATTCATCTCTGTAACTCACTCTGTCTAGCGCAAATAGCCGGCCGGCCGGCATTGCAGAATCCTTCCACAGCAGCTAGCATCTCGATCGAGCATGTAAGCCGTCTGTCGATCTACTGCTCTCCTCTCTTCTTGGTCCCTCGATCATACCTAACCTACGTGTATTCTAGATCGGTAGTCTCTAGAAAAGCTCGTTGATCTTTATTGCAAAAGAAAAGCCAGTTAACGCATCAGTCTTCGTTCCTCTTTGGTTTTATGCCGGCGTTTTCTTTTTATTGTTTTTTTAAAGAATGTCAGGGCGTTTCTTTTTTTATGCTTTTGTTTTACAGTACGCCAGAGCACAGAGAATGAGACTCTTCAGGAAACAGGAAAAACCAAGGTAGAATTAATTAGTTACCGCAGGTTCATAAATTACTCTGCAACAATACGTCACTGTTCCTCTTGACGATCCAGCTCAGCTGTTTTGTATATCGGTGGATCTTCTTGTCCCTCAATCATGCATTTTTTTTTTCAATCGATGGATTGTTCATCTTACTTCAAAAGAAAATTTGGTTAAATCACTAGTCTTCGTTCCTCTTTGTATCTATGTCAGCTTTTGTTGGTTCAATTTTTTGTATCCATTTTGTTACAGAGGGCTAAGGCATCTCTTCAGGAAAGAGGAAAAAACAAGGTAGACTATCTAGTTAATGGTTCAGACATTACTCTGCAGCAATTGGATTCTGTTTTTTCTTTTTTCTTTTCTGTTCAATAGGTCTCTATTCTATTTTACGATCAATCTGTCTCTTAGATCGATTGATCTTTTGGCCCCTCAATCATGCAATTTTCTTTCAATCCAGCTAATGCCTGCAAATCATTTTTTTCTATCTTTTTGTTGCAGATGGATAATGCGTTTCTTCAAGAAAGAGGAAAACCCAAGGTAGATAATTTAGCTAGTGGTTCAGAATATGAGTCTGCAGCAATGGGACACAATCTTTCTTTTCTTTTCTGTTCAATAGGTCTTTGTTCTATTTTACGATCGATCTATTTCTTGGATCGATGGATCTTCTGGTCACTAGATCATGCATTTTCATTTTAATCGATCGTTGATCTTACAGTAAAAGAAAATCCACTTAATGCGTTTGCTGGTACAATTTTTTCTATCCTTTTTGTTACAGAGGGCTAAAGTGGCACTTCTAAGAGAAATGAAATACCCAGGTAGATAATTTAGTTAACGATTCAGAGATTACTCGGCAACAATGGAACTATATTTTTTTTTCTTTTTTGTTCAATAGGTTTTTGTTCTATTTTATGATAGATCTTTTTGTCCCTCGATCTTGCGTCGATTGATTGTTGATACTTATTGCAAAAGAAAATCCAGTTATGTGTTTGTTTTTTCAATGTACTATATCTTTTTTTTTTTGTTACAGAGGGCCAGTGCATTTCTTCAAGAAAAAGGAAGAAACAAGGTTTGATAATTTAGTTAATAATTCAAAAATTACTCTACAACAATGGGACTATGTTTTTTCTTTTCTATTTTGTTCAATATGTTTATGTTTTATTTTATGATCGATGGATCTTCCGGTCCCTCGATTATGCATTTTTCTTTCAATCGACCGATGTTTGATCTTACTGCAAAAGAAAATCCAGTTAATGCGTTTTTTTTCTTTTGTTTTGTTAAAGAGGACTAATGCGTATCTTCAAGAAGAAAAAGGAAAACACAAGGTAGATAATTTAGTTAATGGTTCAGAAATTACTCTGCAGCTATGATAGTTTGGTTGAGATAGTTACAATGCATCATTTTCTGAATTTTCTGTACAAGCAATACATGCATTGTTTGCTTGATGTGATACAAATTATTGCTAAATCTCAAGTTTTCTGTGAACTATGTCTCTATCTTTTCATATTAAAAACAAATTAAAAGGTAAGAGTGATATTTCATCCAAAAAGTAATATTGCTTGTTTAAATACTACAATAACCATCACAGAAATCAAATGTTGTAAACTACAATACACTAATTTTCTTATATACATGTATATTATCATGCATACATTGACCAATAACAATGCATCAATTTAACTATTACCAAAGAGTCCTTTGTTGCCCCTTCTTCTCTGTGCAATATCTTGTCTGTTTCTGCTTTCCTGATATTTTCTTCGGTTTGGAATTGAGTTTTCCACTTTAGGAATTTAAAATCATATAGACTTATCGTTAAATTCCTATTTGCGTTCTAGCCTCTAATATAACGATTTAGTAGATTAGTTATGGCCGAAATTGAAAATCTCACAAATCGTATAAAATTTTCGGTCCACTTCCTGTTTCTGTAACAGGCGCTCCCGATGGCCAAGGTCGGTCATGCTGCCAGACGTGTTCTGCTGCGGGTTTGCAGACAGACAAGCTATAGCTATCGAAAAGATCAAGCTTCTTAAGGAGCGCCGGTGCGCCGCCGCAGCCGCCGGCGACGCGGCACGAGTCGCTAGCCTGGATGTGAACATTACGGCCGCGCTGGAGATATCTGCTACCCTGCTAGGAATTATTGAGCCGGTTTTGGGTTTTACTGATTACAGCCAGCTGTATCGCGAGTACATTCCAAGGCCGCGTGGGGTTCGGGACGACAGGACGGTCTGGACGGTCGTCGGAGAGACAGCCGCCGCCACCATCGAGCGGAGCAACGAAATGGAGATGAGAGCGAAGGATTACGTCGAGACTCTGAGGGAGCGCGACGCTATGGCTCAGAAGGTCGAAGCCTTCATTGACACGGAGGCTATACCGCAGACTAGAGTTCAACCAAGGCTTCGCAAAGATGGCTGGGACAAGACCAAAGAATGGGTTGACCTTCTCCACGCTTTGACTCTGAAGGGCAGCGGTCTTGATCTCGACGTTGAGATTATGAACAAGTCCCTGAGCATTCTTAAGGTAAAGATTCACCAGGCAGCAGAGGGTATACTTGCTGCCGACGGCCAAGACCTTGCCCTTCCCCGCTACTTAGCCGCTCACAAAGGTACGTACGATTATTTGCTGCCCAGTCTTTTACTATTATTTGTCACCAAACTTATAATTATTATCAATTTGTTTTTAATTTAAATACGCTATTTATATATTTATATATATATATAAGAAGATTCTAGACCAGTCTTTTACTATTATTTGTCACCAAACTTATAATTATTATCAATTTGTTTTTAATTTAAATACGCTATTTATATATATATATACAAGAAGATTCTGTCTAGAGATGGCAATTTTGACCTAACCCGTTTTACCCGACTTGTTTGACTTGTTTTGGGGTGGGTCCGACCCGCCCCGTAGGCGGGGCGGGGCGGGCATGAGTAGTCTCATCAACCCGACCTGTCCTGACCCGCCCCATTCTCGACCCATTCTTGTCTAAATTACATGTAATCTTAGTCAAATTACTTAGAATTTTCCATTTATTGCTTCATATTTTAGCTATAATAAAGTTGTAAATTAGTAAAAACCTCAATTTCTCCAATAATTTAACTACAATTGTCATAATATTGTTTGTTTTCTTAGTCTTATAATAAAAATAACAAATATTTCTAATGTTTTCATATAAATTGCATACCTATTGGGTCGACCTGCCCCGACCCGGACCCGACCTGCCACGGGGCGGGTCTGGGTACCAAGAAACCCGCCCCGGACCTGCCCCATTATCATTCCTAATTCTGTCGCAGTAGAATTTTTCGAAAACTATCTAGTTGGTTGCTTTTCACTAATCACTAGTTCATTGGCAATAGCTGTGACGAGCGTATCAGAACGTAAGTGTCATGTATATGTAGACTGTAGTAACTTGCGCATTCCTTTTTTCGAGATAGGTAAGGCCTGCGCACACAAAGAAGAGAAGGTCCAAGCTGATGGTTACAAGGACGACAAAGACGGCCTCAAGAAGACAACAATGCTTGAGATCCGTAAGCTGGAAGAGGAGATAAACGGGAAGATAGCGGCGAAGGTTGGTCTGGTGAAAGAGATTGCAGCAGCAGCACCCAGCCTGTGCGATGGAGACAAGAAGCCCGAAGAATCTTGGTCGTCGTCGTCGCTCATCAAGAACATAGCGGTAAAGCTTGGCCTGGTGAAAGAGAATATTGTGGTGGTAAGAGATGAGGAGGAGCTTCATCAAGAGTCACTGATCAAGCAGTTTGATAAGGCGAGGGAGGAATTCGATCATCTCTGTGCTGCTCTTCGCTCCAAGAGATCAGCACCCAACAGGGCCACGCTCAAACGAAAGGAAATCGGCATTGGATCCCAACATGGCTGGCGACCCTCAAACAAAAAGAAATTGGCGCTGAATCAATCCATTATGCCTCTGCCCGTGTTAACTGAGGTTGCTGTTCAGAAGGTGAAGATGGAGATGCTTGAAGACGAAGACCAGAAGGTGAAGATGGAGATGCTTTGACAGCTCTTTCTGGTGCGTTGCTGCTGTGGAGATTAGAACCAAAAAAACGCGTCGTTCCATTCAAAGCTAGCTGCCATCACATATTCTTATTTGTTTTCTGTGGAACTATACATTTACGAAGTCATCATTTTTCGACCGAGGTGTGAATCAATCCTACATATTGCCTAGAATCTCTTCGCTAAGCATATCGAAATGAACAGGGATGGTGTTCATCAATACCTTCAACGCCCTTCATCAATCATCATTATTACTGTTTTCTCATACAGAAATTAGATAGCTAATTAGCTACAAATACACTCTCAAAATATATACACACACAATAACACCAAATCATAAACTGAAAGATTCATAACCACTTTTAAACTGCACATACATTTGTTTTATAATCTAATTAAATAGTTGTCAATGTCGTATTTCGGTGATTGAGCTCCGAAGATTCTATCTTTTTCGCTATGCAATTATAGAAGCAATTCACTTTCGGTCAACGCAAATCAGCGAACAACTAATTAAAACATATATCGTAGGACAAATTGCAAGCTTCATGGTTCGGTTTGGTTCAACCGCAATTGCGGTTCTACCACACTAATGTCCATCCGCACAAACCATCCATTGGAATAGTTAGCTTATCCATTAGGGTTCCATTTTCTAGGGTTTTTCAGTTCTCTACATAAAAAAAAAAATATATTAGCTAGTTTCAACCTGAAAGTCTAAAGTTCGAATTCATTAAATAGCACGTAAACTATAAATTGGATGAATATCACCTCACTAGTAAGGTATTAGCTAGGCCTAGAACTTTCAATGTCTGAAATTTGAAGCCCATTTTTCTGTCTCCATCTACTTGTTTTTCCTTGCTAAAAGAAACCCAAATTTGATCGTTCTGAAAAAATTCCCTCAAGAGTTTCGTAAATTTTCTGTGGGTTTTTTTATCTAATGCAGCATCATATATATATATGGGAAGCAAATACATAATTTTATTTTTTACTTTATAACCCACCATTAGGCGACTTTTCCCAAGAGTAGGTCTTTGTGGGTTATATATATTGAATACAATACTTTGGATAGAATATACTAGAGTTGGGCCCGCCCGTTGGCCGGATAAATAACAACAATCGTATAAATACTAATATTAATAGTAATTATACGAATAATTTATTTGTTAGTGTTAATACCCTAGTTTGGCCTGAAGTTAACGTAAGTGTCAGTTTTGGCCCGAATTTTCTAATAAGAAATTTGTGGCCAACTTTGCAAAGTATTGGACAAATTTGGCCCGAAACTTATGTTGACTTTCAATCTAACAGTCAAACACTATTCCGTTAGTGACTCAACAAAAAATAGCTAATGTGTCATGCCACGTCACTAAATCATATTATTTTAGTTTATTAATTCAATAAAAAATTAACAAACTAAAAAAATTCCCTCTGTCTCTCTTGGATAATTTTACCCCCCCAACCCTAAATAAACCAAACCCGCATCCCATTTCCCCTCTTTCTCCCTTACCCAAATCGCAACCCTAAATAAACTCAGCACCGCCGTCATTTTCTCCCCGGTCCTGGCAAAAATCGCCGCACTAAATTAAACCCACGACCCGCCGCCTTAGAAGGCCTCACCAGCCGCATCAGGTTCAAGACAATCCCGATGACGACGCCACCCAGGACATGACGTTGCTGTCCAAACTAGCTTGCCGCCGTCGCCATCATCTCTGTTGTTTCTTCTGCCCTAGGACCGCCCGCCACCTACAAGTTCGATAACGAGATCGGCAGATTCAGGACAAGGAGATCGGCAATCCATCCCCTTCCCTCTGGTTCGGCACCTCGCGCTCACCGGATGCACGCGCGTCGCACCGCCGCCGCTGCCACTAGCGCTTCCCATTTCGCCTCCGCGGTTGAGCCACCGTCACGAGCCCGACGAGAAGAGGGATATGGACAGGCAGAGGCAGCAGCTTCTGTCTTGTGGACGGGATCTCGAAGGAGCAGTAGCAGAAGCGGACGGACAAAAGAACGGTTGGGGAGATGGAGCGCGGGTAGCTGAAGATGGGAATGGTGGCAACTGGCGAGATGGGTAGCGAGGGTAGGGTTTCGATGATTGTTAGGGATGATTTTTGGGTGGCGGGGAGTGAATTGAGTTGTGATTTACTTGTGAAGGGAGGGAGTTACGTGGAGATTGGAAATTGTATTTTGGGTTTTTTGGTTTTTGAATTTTTGAATTTAAATCAATGATGTGGCAACCACCTGAGATCCACCACAACATTTTGATGCTGAGTCACTGACGGAAAAATAGTTGACCGTCAGTTTTAACAGTCAACATAAGTTTCGGGCAAAATTTGTCCAATACTTTGCAAAGTAGGCCACAAATGTCTTATTAGAAAAGTCGGGCCAAAATTGACACTTACGCTAAACTTCAAGCCAAACTAGGGTATTAACCCTAATTGTTATCATGAAAGAAACTAAATTATTCAATTACTCAAAATATTAAAAAACTACATTAGAAGTTTTACAACATCTTGATCATTCATGGACAAATGTCCTTTTGAAAAGTAAACAACACAACTCATGCAGGTAACTGATTCGTAAAAAAACCATGGTTATAATTGTCAATCATTAGGGAAATTGTTAGCCAATGAATTTTGGTCATTCACTTATAGCATTGAAAATGTCTCGTTACAAAACCATAGATCACAAAAGTCAAATTTTATGTTTTGAAATAAAATTTTGTATGGCACTTTTGTAAACAATCCTTGTATTGCTACAAACTACAAAGTCATGTAACCTAATAAATGTAAAAATTGTAAGACATACATAAACTCAAAATGTACTATTTGATTCTTGGTGAAGAATTGTGTGATTAGAGGAACTCACTTAGTTGATTCATAAAACTAGGTATATCATGATGATTCACTTTGTAAATAATTACAATTATTAATTAATTTGATGATTGATTGTTGCGGTGGATAGTCTTATGATTTTGAGATATTCCCTTTAATTCAAAAAATACATAAACATTGTTGTAGTCTAGTTGTTGGTTAGGGATATTGACTATCAATATGAAGGACTCAAGTTCAAAACTTCGTAATGACATTTTTTTCTCGTAAGAAGATATTTAAGTTCTAAGTTGAACTTACAAATTTACCCCTAGCTACAATTAATGAGAGTGCAAGGAATTTGAAATACTCAAAATCTCATGAAATACTATTATATATTATAGAGGGATTTATTGTGTAGATTTACAATTCCCTAAATACCTTAACTACCTAACACCCAGCTAGCCAATAAAAACGCTTTAATACCTTACTTAAAGAATGAGGGTTAAGTACCTGAACTCAGGCCTAATCACAATATATTATTAGTCAATTAAAAAAGTTGAGGAACGCGGACAAGATTTGACCATTCGGTTCCATTGGCAATTTTCGTCATGAAGATCTCATATTTAAACCTCGAAATAAACTTACTCTCCAAACATCTCCTCCGATAACATGTAAATTCGCAGAGTATAGTCACCATGGTGTCTGGGATGAGTTAGCTTGACTATCCTCTAAGGGTTGTAAAAATGGCACCCCTATTAATTATAGTTATTTTGGGTGAGGCATTTTAGTGTGCTTTATAGTATTGGTGCTATAAAACATTTACAGCCATTAGATTATGTTCAAACTATATCAACCATAGATTTTATTTAAATTATTAATTTGTTATTTTATTTGTGGGTGGAGAACCGGTACAACCGGTTGTCTGAAGTTTTTTTACGAATTCAATTCACAATGCCTTATTCTCACCTCTTCTCACCGCCGTTTACTCTTCCTTCGATCCTCTCCACGCGAGCCAGATTCTGACGACACAGTGAAGACGGCGAGCAGTGGGTGACGACGAGTAGAAGAAGCTTGTCGATTGCAGCATCTCTTTGACTGCGGCGAGCCGGATTCCGACGACGACAGTGAAGGCGGCGAGCAGGGGACGACGAGAGCGAGCATCTCTTCGTCGATTGCAAACGAAGACCCTCTTCCCATCGATAGCAAACGAAGACCCTGCACAGAACCCCCTCTTCCCATCGATAGCAAACGAAGACCCTGCACAGAACCCCCTCTTCCCATCGATAGCAAACGAAGACCTACCTCCTCCACTGCAACTTTTTCCGGTTAGTGCTTACAGTTCTACAATTTTATTCAATTTTCCGGTTAGTATGGCTATCAGTTTAGGGATTATATTGGGATGTTCTAGATTTACAAATTTCGGTAGGGGGATTGAAATTCCATGCTCGTTTTACCAGATTGAACTATGGAAGTAGAAGAGAGAATTTCTCAATTCTGTGTAACCATTTGGGATTGAAATTGAAGCTTCTCCACTGCTTTCTTCATGTGCATTCTCAATTGGATATGGTGATATAAGATGCGATATTCCTTTCCCTCTCTCGGTTTTATCAGTTGTGTGAAGTGGGAATTCTGATGTGCTCCATCTTTTCCAGTGTCTTCTTCTGTGATTTGGTTTGTCTATCTCTTTAGCTTTAAAGTCTAGTATTGAAGCTCTCTCAAGTGTAGTTCTTGGTTGTGCTGTATTTTGTCGAGAATAATGACGGTGGAGAATAATGAGGGGCATATTTGGTATATCAAAAAATTATTGAATTAATAAATTAAGATTTAAAATAATTTTCTCTTTCTTAGTAGAGATCGATTTAGATGTGAAAAATATTAGTACGGAAACTACTACTACATTAATCAGTAGTGATTTTGGTGGTTGTATTAACAATTTTATTTGTTCTTGTAGTGATTTAATTGTTATTAGTAGTGATATAGAAATTTTAAATTATCATAATTAGTGAATTTTAGAAAGTAATGTAACATAATCACTACTAATACGATCCACATCTGTAAAATCGCTACTAATACTAGTGCTATAAACCGTTGTGAGAATCATTACCACAAATATGAAAAACCAGTACTACAAATCTAGATAAAACCAAAACATGACTTCTCATACTACCACAAAGATGGATTGTTTTTCTTCCATTTATTATAAATTTATAATCCTTGGTCATCAGCGCTCAAGCACATCCCACCCTCGACAACCCACTTCTCCCGCCGTCAATTTGAATGATGTATTATGTGTAGATATATTAGGGTTTAGGAGGAACGG